GCCTGCCCAGGCGGGTCTTGAACCCGCGGGCTCAGGCAATCCACTCACCTCAGCCTCCCAAAGGCGTGGGATTACAGGCTAAGCCACCGAGCCCGGGTTAGTGTCTATATTTAAAAGATAACAATTTTATTTAGTCTTCTTGTTCTATTATACATTTATATAAGTATATAAATAAAAATAAGCTCTGGGCCGCCTCGGTGGCTCAGCCTGTAATCCCAGCACTTTGGTAGGCCGAGGTGAGTGGATTGCCTGAGCCCCTGGGTTTGAGACCCGCCCAGGCAACTTGGCGAGATCCCATCTCCACAATAAATCAAACATCAGCCGGGCGACCTAGTGCGCTCCTGTAGTTCCCCCTACTTGAAAGGCTGAGGTGGAAGGATTGCCGGAGCCCAGCAGGTCGAGGCTGCGGTGGCCGGGAGCGTGCCGCTACACTCCAGTCTGGGTGACGGAGTGATACTCCAACTAAAAAAAAACCAAAAAAGCTCTGTATGTTTAATTTGATTATAATATAGCTCAATAAAACTTTTCTACTTAAATAATAATAATAAATACTTGGACAAATAACATTTGTATTGATTTTTCCATTTAGCAGGTAATAGTTAAAGATATTTAAGAACATATCATTTTAACGTAGTCATAGTTTTAAAAGATGAAAATGTTCACCTCTGTTTTGGGTGAGTCACAAAGCCATAAAAATAAATGTATTTCATGTAGTAATCAATGGTGAATTTCATAATTCATATTAGTAGTTACTTCCTGCAAAATCCCCTGTTTCTGAAACAATACTAATTTGAAATGCTGCAGCAAATCTATGACCAAAGTGGTTATCACAGGAAGTGAAGTGATTTCTTCTCTATTAACTTTGCAATGTAGTTACAAGTATATTGGGAATTCATTATTTTGAACTAGTCAGTGTTTTGTTGGATGTTGTAAAGGATATAATTCTCTTTGAGAAAGATATTCTTCCACATTCTATAGATAGCAGAGGATCATAAAATTACACCTGTAATTCTGAGCCCTTCTATCACCCACCTATTTGCTTTTGGGCATAGCCTGAAGTTTGAGCTCTATCTGTTAAGTGCATATCGGACTTTTCAAAGTGCTGTTTGATGCTTTAATGACGTTCTGTAATCCTGAGTCATAGAGATAGCCTGGTGTTCATACCTTTCGTTAATACTTACTGAAGATGATAAGGTACTTTTACCTGTGGAACAAGGAAGTCCAGATTCTCTGAAACTGTTTCACAAGTTTATACAACCTTTCTTGTGGATAAGTTTCCTGGTCACTTTACTTTATGGATTAAATTACGAGTTGTATTTTTCCCTTCTGGCAGCCTGAGACTGATGTTGAGGACTATAGTACCAGTGCTGGTGGAAAAACAGCTTTGGAGTCAGATAAATGTGGAATTGGGCCTCACACCCACTATGTGACCTTGCTAACATTCCTAACTTTCATTTTGTTGGTCTGTAAAATACAAACAATAATATCTGCCCAGGTTACGATAGAGATTAAATGAGGTAATGATGTAACACATGAGCCCAGTGGCTGGCACTTAGCAGGTGGTCAATAAATGGAAGATTTATATTCTTCTGTCTGTCTCTGTATCTTTCTCTGTCTCTTCTCTCCTCGCAATATGCTCACCACCTTCCCAAAATGAAAGACACAAGGAATGTAGGTATGTATCCTCATCACCTCAGGTTCTTTTAATGCTTGTGCAAATTTTTTTTTCAATTCTCATGGAATTTGTAGCAGGACCAATTTATAGCTACAGCTACATGAGTTATTCTGAGTGGACTGTCTTAACTCAGGAACTTTTAGGAGCTTCATGGAAATTGCCATTCTAAGTTATGCTCAGCCAGCTGCTCCTGGCTTCTGGTGTTAGCAAATGTGAAGGAGGCTTATACTACTCAAGTGAAGAGAGGCCTTCTGCAGGGAGAAAACAGGCATGCCGGCTTACAGTTGCTTCACAGTGTTGAGTGATATATTTTCTCTATTTTGGCCTAGAAAAGAGCTTTCATGGCAGTTTAAAGAAATAGTCCAACACTTTCCAAAAGATTTTCCTTGAATTGGATCTTCCTTCCTAAAGCAAGTGAATAGACTGCTCATACTAATAAAGAAGCCTCCAAACTTTGGGGAATGCTCCCTAGAATGACTTGTTTATGCCAGAGTGATCTCTAGTCCTGTGTATCAGCTGAAGGACAAAGTTTTATCTGAAGTTTAATTCATAATGGTCTAAGAGAATTTTTATATATGTCCAGAGATAAGACCAGCAGCAGTAACTGATTATTAACTAATCATTAAGAATTAGTGATTCATAGCCGGGTTCGGTGGCTCAGCCTGTAATCCTGTGCCTTTGGGAGGCTGAGGTGAGTGGATTGCCTGAGCCCGTGGGTTTGAGACCCACCTGGGCAGCAAGACCTCACCTCTACAAAAAATCAAAAAAATCAGCCGGGCATGGTAGTGCATGCCTGTGATTCTGGCTACTTGGAAGGCTGAGGCAGAAGGATCACCAGAGCCCAGCAGGTCGAGGCTGCGGTGGCCAGGAGTGGCCACTGCACTCCAGTCTGGGCGACAGAGTGAGACTCCAACTCAAAAAAAAAAAAAAAAGAATTAGTGATTCAACCAGGCACAGTGGCTCAAGCCTGTAATCCCAGCACTTTGGGAGGCCGAGGTGAGGGGACAGCCTGAGCCCACAGGTTCAAGAACAGCCTTAGCAACTTGGCGAGACTTCATCTCTACAATAAATCAAAAAAATTAGTGGGTGTGGTGGCGCGTGCCTGTAGTTCCGGCTACTTGGAAGGCTGAGGCAGAAGGATTACCTCCTGAGCCCACCAGGTCTAGGCTGCGATGACCATGAACATGCCACTGCACTCCAGCCTGGACAACAAAGTGAGACTAAGACTCAAAAAAAAAAAAAAAAAAAAAATTAGGGATTCAAGTAGAAAACTGTGTCCTGGGTTTCTTTAAAATCACCTCCATACTTTATTATCTCCAAAACACTGATAAGATCATTCCTTGCAGGGCCGTCTCTCACACACGCACATACACACACCACTCTCTCTCTCTCTCACACACACACACACACACACACACACACACACACACACACACACAAATTTCTCTGACACTAACTAACCCCCCTAGTGGTGTAATACACACAAACAAGCCTCCTAGATGCTGAATTTTCAGCTTTAGCATTCTCATTCTCATGACTATGGAAACAAAGGATGCATGTTTTGCTCACAGCAATACATTGGAAACAACTATAGTTCAGACAATTTGCCAGATATGAAAACAGTATGCCACAATACAAGTGGGCCCTACTCAGGCCTAATACATCAGAATTCCCAAGAGAAGGTCTGTAAATCTGACTATTGCAAGTGCCTCAGGTCATTCATGATCAGTTGCATTCAGGAGTTCTGTATTGCTCAGCTGTAGATTTCAACAAAGGTGTGCCCTATTAATAATAATCAAAATATTTTAAAAGCTCTATGATGTTCTGGGCTCTATAATAGCTGAGTCAAGAAGTCCTTGAGGCCAGAGACCTGGATTTCAAATCCACCTGCCTTCTGGTACAGACAATGGCACATTCATGCTTCACGATTATCTTCATCCGGGATAATCATTGTGCATGAGAATGTTTCTTCTCATTCGTATTGGCAGCTCCCCACTCCTATTATATTCCCTGTAAATGCTTAGAGACTGGTAAGGAACAAAGGAAAGTTGAGGGAATTAATTCAAAAGCTATCTAACACTAAATATAAAGCTTGGAAGAACAGCTCTAATGTGAAAAAAATGTGATAGATAATATCCCAACCGATTTTTATCAATTTATTATTCTTATTTTTTGCCTGAGCTCCTTAGCCTGTACCACATAATGTACCTAAAATTGCCATTCTTCCCTGATGACCAATACAAATTAATGCCGTACCACTGCTGTAAATTGTTTCCTAAGACAAGACATAGTTAACTGTAAGGCTAAAAGACAGCCTATAAAAGCTTGGTGAAATAGGCAAGCTCTTCTCCAAATTAAGTTAAATAAATATTACTCACCATCAGACCTGCTCCTATAATTCCTGGGAGCCACCATTCAAAGCAAGAGATGGGATTTTGAAAAAGTTTGTCTTCCTCAACAAAGTTGACAATTAGAGGCACTGCATTGAGAACTATCCCCAGTATAAGCAGAACCAGCAAACAGAATCCATTGCAGGATGTCCATCCTTCACAGCAGGTCATGGTCACCCCTGGGTCAGTAGAGACCTTGTCAAAGTGGCTGTGTGTGCATGACACTGGCTTGCCTTTTATCCCAACCTTCTGGTTATAGTTTAACACTTATAAAAAATAAATTGTGGAAAGTAGTTCAGAGTCCAATAGGGCAGGACATTATTATGACGGACTATGATGGGAACTAAGGCTAATTTTATATTATAATGGGGTGAAGGAAGGAAGGTGGGAAAGAATCTGGTCTCTGAGATAAATTTACGCATGAAAATAGACAGATTAAAAACTTGAAAAAAAAGAACGGATTTAAGATAAGCTTCATTAACATAGTCTTTTACTAATATGCTTTACAAAAAGTAAAAAAAAAAAAAGAGAACATCCAGTTAACATAAACTGTTTTCCTGTTTAATTGATATTACTGTCTACTATGGAAACCCTTATTTTGAAATTGTTCAACAAGAAAATGAACATAAATGAGACGGAGAGAAAAGTATTTTCTCTGCTGCGTGTTCTTAATTAGTTGAAATATCATGGTTCAGTTTCACACTGTATGCTTACAGACACAATTTTTTTTGTTTTTGAGTCGGCGGCTCACTCTATCACCCAGGCTGGCAGGCAGTGGCACGACCACACCTCACTGCGGCCTTGATCTTCCCACAGTCTCAACCTCCCGGGCTCAGGTGATCTTTCCACCTCTGCCTCCTGAGTAGCTGGGACTTGAGATGCGCACCACCATGCCCAGTTAAAGTTTTAATTTTTTTTGTACAGACAGGGTCTCACTATGTTTCTTAGGCTGTTCTCGAACTCCTGGCCTCAAGTGAAGCTCCCACCTCATTCTCCCTCCCAAAGTGTTGGGATTACAGGCATGAGCCACCCTACTCGGCAACAATTTTTAAATTTTCATTTTATTTCAGTTGTGTAGATAAATCCATTTGGAGATAGTTCACCTAAGACACACGGGAGGCTGGGCTAACACTGCCAGACTGAAAGATAGCAATATTTTATTTTATTCAAACACCTGAACACTTACTTGGTCATATACAGTACTTTATATTTTTAGACAATGTTTCCATATTGTTTCTCTGTGAGTTTGTGAGTTCCTCAAGAAAAGAGTCTCTCAGTTGGGAAAGGCTTTAAAATACAAAAGTTCTCCCTTATACTAACTGGCCATCATGATCAACAAAGGAACTCTGTTCATGGTAGTTACTGAGAGACCCAAACTGGCAGCAGCACCATGTTGACCCACAATTGCAGAGGCAGGATACAACAATGCATTGAGTCAGATACAGGATCTAGACGTTTCTGCCCAGAAGTGACTCACATCACTTCTGTTCATATTTCTTTGACCCATCAAGTCACTCAGCTATGCTCAAGTTTGAGTGAGTGGCAATTCAAGCTACAGTGTCTAGAAGAAAAGAATGAACCATTAGGCAGTTGTAATATCTACAGTGCCTGCCTTCTACTTCTGTGTAGAGACTTAGAGACTGCTATCTATCCCCATCATAGCCCAGAGTGCTGATGCAGAGTGCAGATGCAGCAAATGCTGCTGGGAATGATGAGATAATAAATGCAGCAATGTAGTCAGTGTCGTTCACGTGCTCAGGTATAAAACAGCAATGTCCCATTCATCCTGCTGGAGGGTATGCAGTCTGTCACACTGGGCATGTCTGGTTTTGGACACTGAAACATTAGTTCTAGTTTGGGGTCCAAGCCAAAAACGACTCTTTGTGCCAAAGGGTTAAAAATAACCCACCCATCACCACAACACTCAAAACACAAAGAATGGCGGAAAGAACATCACAACAGCTGGGTCGAGCAACAAGAAGTACTTCCATTATGTGGTTTGTATACTTCTGCATGATGGAGATTTCTAAAATGATGACGCAATTTTCTAGAAATACAGTTTTATTTTTTAAAATTTAGCAATTAAAAATTATTCTCCCGGCCAGGCGTGGTGGCTCACGCCTATAATCAATCCCAGCACGTTGGGAAGCTGAGGCGAGAGGATTGCCTGAGCCCACAGGTTTGAGACCAGCCTGGGCAACATGGTGAGACCACGTCTCTACAATAAATCAAAAAATTAGCCGGACATGGTGGCACATGCCTGTAGTTCCAGCTTCTTGGGAGGCTGAGGCAGAAAGATCGCCTGAGCCTAGCAGGTGGAGGCTGTGGTGGCTGTGAGTATGACACTGCACTCCAGCCTGGATGACAAAGTGAAACTCCAACTTTAAAAAAATTATCTTCCTGCTGAGTTACATAAATTATATGATTATGGCCGGGCTCGGTGGCTCAGCCTGTAATCCCACACCTTTGGGAGGCTGAGGTGAGTGGATTGCCTGAGCCCGCGGGTTCGAGACCCGCCTGGGCAGCGAGACCTCATCTCTACAATAAATCAAAAAATCAGCCGGGCGTGGTAGCGCTTGCCTGTAATTCCGGCTACTCGGAAGGCTGAGGCGGAAGGATCGCCAGAGCCCAGCAGGTCGAGGCTGCGGTGGCCGGAAGCGGCCACTGCACTCCAGTCTGGGCGACAGAGTGAGACTCCAACTCAAAAAAAAAAAAAAAAAAAAATTATATGATTATGTAATTATATGATATCATGATAAATAAATTATATATTTATTACTGAGTTGCATGCATGGGAGGTGGTAGTTACTTGTTTTACACTGTGGGCTCTGGAATTTCAAATCCTTTTTGCTGTCTTCACAAGGCATTGAATTGAAGAATTGTTTAGGTCATTGTTTTATATCTAGGGACCTGAACTAGTTAAACCCTACCTAACTATGAGAATCAAGAGCTTGATTTTCAGAATCTTTCCCAGAAGATCAAGATTGGGTAAGTAGTGTGCTCTTGCTAGTGGGTGTAACGTAACTTATTTCTACTTAGATTTGTGGCTAAAAGTAAGTATCTGAAGAATTTCACTGAAATGTAGTCTGGGCCAAGCTCAGTAGCTCAGCCTATAATCCCAGCACTTTGGAAGGCCGAGGAGAGTGAACTGCTTGAGCCTGCAGGTTTGAGACCAGCCTGGGAAACTTGGCGAGACCTCGTCTCTACAAAAAATTTTTTAAAAATTTGCCGGGCATGGTAGTGTGTGCCTGTAGTTCCCGCTACTTGGAATGCTAAGGCAGAAGGAACGCTGGAACCCAGCAGGTCGACACTGGGGTATACGTGAGTGTACCACTGCACTCCAACCTGGGCGATGGAGTGAGACTCCAACTCAAAAAAAAGAAAAAGAAAGAAAGAAATGTAGTCTGGATGTTATGAAGGGGAAGATATTTATAGATAAAGCTGAAAAGGGAATTAGCTTATAAGTGAAGAGAAGGAGTACAGTAGACAACTTTTTAGTATTTGTGCAAAACACATACCTCCTTCTGTAAAGACAACCCCCTGCAACTCACATGCATAGATCTTCTGTATCTCATTTGTATGATGGAACTTGTTCTCTGACCATTGCAGATTGCAATACAGGTAGATACAGAAGCTAAATTCTTCCCATCTCTCCCAGAAGCTTGGAATTGAAACAAAGAGACACTAGTTATTCTCTATTATTCATAAAATGGGACCCATATGTGTTAGTTAAGATTAAGTTTAGGCGCTGGGAGCGGTGGTTCACACCTGTAATCCCAGCACATTGGGAGGCTGAGGTGAGAGGATTGCCTGAGCTCAGGAATTTGAGACCAGCCTGGGTAACTTGGTGAGACTTTGTCTCTACAATATATCAAAAAAGTAGCTGGGCGTGGTGGAGCATGGCTGGGGCTCCAGCTATTTGGAAGGCTGAGGCAGAAGGATCACCTAAGCCCAGCAGGTCGAGGCTGTGGTGGCCGTGAGCGTGCTATTGCATGTCAGCGCAGACAGCAGTGATTCTCCGACTCAAAAAAAAAGAAGATTAAATTTAGGCCAGTCACAGTGTAATCCCAGCACCTTGGGAGGCCGAGGGGGGAAGATTGCTTGAGCTTGGGAGTTTAAGACCAGCCTGGGCAATATAGTAACACATCATCTTTACAAAACACATACATTTTTTTAATTAGCTAGGCATGGTGTTGTGCCCATATAGCCCCAGCGACTTGGAAGGCTGAGGCAAAAGGATCACCTGATTCCAGGGGGTCAAAGCTGCGGTGAGCCATGATAGTGCCACTGAGCTCCAGCCTGGGTGACAAAGTGAGACCCCAACTCAGAAAAAAAAAAGAAAGATTAAGCTAGGCTGCATGTAAAAAGAAATTCAAAATAACAATTGCTTAAGATAGAAATATAGTTATTCACATACACAAAGTCTGGAGCTGGGTACTCAAGAGCTGGAAAGATAACTCCACTTCCTCAGGAATCCAGTCAGTTCAGGGGTCTACCATCTTTTTTATCTTTTCATTTTCACCTTCAAAATGTGGTAACCGTAGCTCCAACCACCATACCTGATCTCCACTTAGAAAGATAAAGGAATAGAAAGGTCCACTGCTCATCCTTCTGAAGAGTCATCTCATTGCCTTGAATGTAGTTTTGTGACAATATTTAGTTGCAAGGGAAAGTGTAGTATTTATTCCAAGAGATCCATGCCCAGTTCACATGGAAGGGAAGAACGAGACAAAGGGTATTGCATAGGCAGCTAGAAGCCTCTAGCAGATAATTTAAATTCATGAGCTCTGCAGGAGAAACAGAGAACCCCATCTGCACAAAAAGAAAGAGAAAAAGGAAGAGAAGGGAAAGGAGGAGGGAGAGAGGCAGGGGGAGGAGAAACAGACATGCAGGAAAAGGAGGTGAGAGACCATATGGTTTTAGACAAAAACAGAGCAAGGGTAAATTAAATGGCTGGCTTCTCAATGGCTTTTCTGTCTTGATTTCTACCCTATGAAGACTCACTGCAGATTCTGTCTTTGTTTCTGTGAGATGCCCTTATATTCTTATAATACCCCTCCTGTTTTAGTCAGTTTCTAATTTTCTTCAACCAAAAGAACTGAAACTGAAAGTTACTAAAACGAAGGCTGGGAGAGCATGCAAATAACTTGTCACATGGCATGCCAAAACAGCAAAAGCCTAGGGGATCAGAAAAAGGAAGGATT